TCTGTTCACGTTTTGTCTGGGGAACCAGAACAGATCCAAATATATTGACAGCAAAGATTTCCTCTTATTAATATATCTAGATCAACCAATAGTAAGCTTACAGTAGGCAGCAAGTCCACCTCAAAGCTGCTAATCAGCTTCTGCATCTGTAATATTTGAACCTAAACCAATGACTTAAAATATCCAGGCATCTGAGGAAATGCTGTAATAGGACTGACAGAGACAAATACAAAAGAAAAAAGAAAAATAATTTCTCAATAGCAAAAACAATGCTGAGAAAAGTATGAATATTTTCCTGGCTATAACAATTTTGTAACAGAATGATATAAATTAAATGGAATTAAGAGAAGAGCTCCTACATATGAAAGAATGGAAGTAGAAATAAAAGCGTAAATAGTAGTTTTGGATGATGAAGTTGGAAAATTATCTTTTTAAAAGAGCAGTATAAAAGATAAAACTATAGAAAAGATAGAAGACAAGAAAATTAGAGGCTTAGGTTGGTGGTGGTCCAATATCTGAATACATCTGAATAACAGTAGTTGTAGAAAGAAAAGCGGAGGAAATCACTAGGAAAGATGTTGACAATTCCATCCTAATGGGAGTTATCCCAAGAATAAAGGAATTCTGGGTATAATTCCCTTACTTTATTCGAACTAAAAGATAATTATTGTGGTTATAAATTGTTAGATGAACTTGAATACCTCTGTTATTACACATGCTCAAGCATATAACCTATGATGTGTGTATACAGTTCAACAACCAATATAGTTTCAATTTATTTTAACATTATATTGAACTGAATATGATAAATGTATATAGTTAATATTAAAGAGTTCTGATGCCCTAGTGGTTAAGAAGTTTTGCTCTCATCACAAAGGCAAGAAATTCAAACCCATTAACAGCACTGTGAGAGAAAGATAGGTAGGCAACGTCCTCTCATGCAATTTAGAGTCCCTGGAAACTTGTTGGAGAATCCACTATGAGTCTGTTCTGACATTATGCACAACAACATAACTAATAGGAAAATATGTTAATATTTTTTCAACCCTTCAAATGAAGATAAATCAGGTATAAAAATCTTCCTTTTCTATTCTAAAATTTGGGACTAATAGGCAGGTCTCAAATTTTGTGCATAAGAATCACAAGAAAAGGAAAAATAAAAGCCCCAGACCTGAAGTCCAAGAAGTTGTATTTTTTTTTAACTGCATCACCTAACTAATTCTTCATATAGGTGACCTTGAAAACAAATTGTCAGAAACACTGGTGTACAAAGTTAATGTTGCTGTTAGGTGTCGACAAGTCGTCTATGACTCATAGCAACCATATGAACAACAGATCTGAACCTGGCTCTATACTGTACCATGCTCAAGGCCACTGGTGCGTCACTGTGTCAATCTATCTTGTTTGGGGTCTTCCTCCTCCATCTTTCCTACCATGATGTCTTTTTCCAAGGACTGGCCCCTCCTGATGACATGTCCAAAGTATATGACAAAAAGTATATAATGGGACTCCCTTAAAGTTAAATGACATTAGGTCCACTATAATCAATTATCATTTATGTAGTAGTTGTTGTTGTTATGTGTCATTGAGTTGCTTCTGATTAATTGCGACCCTATGTACAACAGCCCGGAAACCTGCTCTATCATGTGCCAACTAGACTGTCTCTGACACACCTAACATCATTAACTAAGTCACTGAATCAATCCATCTCATCAATGGTCTTCCTCTCTTTCTCTGTCCTTCCACCCTTTCAAACATGATGTCCCTCTCCAAGGTCTGATCCCTCCTTGCAACATGCCCAAAATATGTCAGATAGAGCTTCAGAATCCTTGCCTCCAAGGAGCAGCCTGGCTTCACCCTTTCTAGGACAAAACTGTTCGTTCTCTTGGCAGTCCATGGTATATTCAACACTCTTCTCCAGCACCACAGCTCAAAGGCATCAATTCTCCTTCTATCATCCCTAGTGATTGTCCAGCTCTCTGATGCATAGCAAGCAATTACAAAGAATATGGCCTGGTTCGGACTCTCCTTACTCTCTAGACTGACATCGTTGCTCTTAAGTACTCCGGAGAGTTCTCTGACAGTCGACTTTCCCAATGCAATTAGTCTCTTGATTTCCTGGCTGCTGGTACCTAGAGTGTTTATTATGGAGCTAAGCAACCTAAAGCTGTTAACAATCTCAATCTCTCCACCATCTATCATAATGCTGCCAATAAGCCCAGTGGGGAGGATCCTTCCTTGTTTTCTTGTTGCTGAGCTTCAATTATGAGAACTTACTAATTACCTGCATATTAGAGAGAAAGGGACAAACAAAAAATGCTATTGAGTCCAAAACTATGGGAAACTTTATCCTACTTGGAAGCTAATAAATTAGTTTGCTACATTTAAACACACAGACACACTCACATCGAGCCAACAATTATTGCTCACACATTCTATATTTGCTAATTTTCTTTCTTGCTAAAATGTATTTGTAACTCCAAAGTAAGTACGGCCCTTTCCCTGTCATCTTCTGACCTACGCATATGGAGTTCCTGATGAGGTTGAACAGGTGGCTCAAGATTTGCTAATTGACTGTATTCAAGGAGACTTCATAGAATGCAACTACTGTAACAAAAATCAATTGTATATAAACACTGAAAGTGCAGAGAAATAGAAAATAAAAGTGTAGAAAATCCCTCATGCGTCATAATATGGAAACAATAGATCTTTTTAAATTGATACATTAACAAATAAAGTTGTGATTGTTGTTGTTGTTGTTGTTAGGTGCCATTGGGTCAAGCACAACTCATATTAACCCTATGACCAGAAGATCTGAACCGTGTCCTTTGCTGTACCATGCTTACCCTTCCTGGCACATGAAATCCCATTGCAGCAGTCACCTTGTCAATGTACCAGGTCAAGGGTCTTCTTCTCCTTTGCTGACCCTCCACCTTTCCAAGCATCAGGTCCTTATCCAATGAATAGCCTCTGCTAGTAACATGCCTGAAGTATGTGAGGCAAAGTCTCATCACTGTTTGCTCCAAAGATTACACTTGCTGCACCCTTCCCAAGACATATCTGTTTATTCTTGTGGATTTCCATGGGATGTTCAGCATTCTTCTCCAACACCAGAGCAAAAAAGCATTAATTCTTCTGTCATCCTTATTCATTGTCCAGTTCTCAGATGCACAGCAAGTGCTCAGAAATACTATGGCCTGAATCTGAAACATCTTAGTCCTCAAACTGACATGATTACTCTTTATAACAAAAGTTTACAGAATACTCCTGGGCCTCCAGAAGAAAAAGACTGATAATCCAATTACAAAATGACCAAGAGACATGGAAAGACTTTTCACAGAGGAGGACATTTGAATTGCCAACAGACACATAAAGAAATACTCAAGATCACTGCCAATAAGAGGGGTGCAAAGTTCCACAGGACAGCAAATAATAAATGTTGGTGAGGATGTGGGAAGAACAGACTCTTAGAAATTGTTGGTAGAATTGTAAAATGGTACAACCACTCTAGAAGACAGTTTGGTATTTCCTCAAAAAGCTGAACATAGAAATTCCATATGGCCCAGATATATGACCCATATATTCCATATGACCAAGTGGACTGTCTGGAATATGCTCTGAAAAAATGAGAACGGAGGCACAAACGGAGACTTGTACACTAACATTCATAGCAGCATTATTCACCATAGCAAGATCATGGAAACAGCCCAAATGCCCAACTACAACAGAATGAATTGAGAAATCATGGTAAAGTCATACAATGGAATACTATGCAGCATTCAGGAGCAATAATTTTGTAACTTACTTCCTAACATGGGAGAGACTGGAGAGCGTTATGCTGAGTGAACTAACTCAATCTCATAAAGACCAATAGTGTATAATACCATTATTGTAGAACAAGTATAAGGATCCAAGGAGGGGCAGGGTAGGATGGGGCTTAATCATAGGGTCACACAATTTGATGGGTGGAGAGAGGTGTGGGTAAAGGAAAAGGGAAAGATCCGGTGTGAAAAATAATGTATACAAGCTTGGTAATTTAAAAAAAATCTGTATATTGCACAAATTATTGGAGAAGCTGGACTCTGTGAAGAGGAATGTGGCATCAAGATTAGAGGGAAACTCATTAATGACCTGCATTGTTCAGATGACACTTGCTGAAAATAAGGAAGACTTGAAGCACTTACTGAAGAAAATCAAATAATACAGCCTTCAATATAGATTGTATCTCAGTGTCAAGAAGCAAAGATTCTTACCATTGGATCAATAGGCAACAAATAAAGTATGTAGGTAGATATTATTAAAAACTTAGAATTATCATCATAGGGTCACACAATATGATGGGTAGAGGGAGAGGTGGGTAAAGGAAATGGGAAATATCCAGTGTGAAAAACAATGTGTATCAACTTTGTAAGCAAGCCAGTATAAAATAAAAATTTTACTAACAAAATAGCTTAGAATTAACTTCCAGAAATGCACATCATAAATGGTTTCCAAATAAGCTCATGTGATAAGGGGTCTGGGGGAAATTAAAGTGAGCATTGCTTTTCTACAGTGTTTGACTTTCCATTACGGAAAATCCTGCTGGCATCATTATTAAGTGAATACACTAATAATTAATAAGATGAGTTATGACACCCAAATGAGTTTGTCTAAATTTTCACGTTAATGAGAATAATATTTTCCAAGGAGACGCTAATGTTGATCAGTAGCAGAAACAATATCTTAGTGTTGTTTTGTTTTCTTCTTAATCCACAATGTAAATAAAAATATTTGTAAACTACTGTCTGGTCTAAATATATTAGTGTCATGGTATATGTTTTTGAAAATAAAAGAGGCCATTCCTCGTATGTACAACCAGAGGAGTGTGCGAGTGCATTCACTGCAGGTCTGCATATGTCCCCAAAGGGAGACACTGTCATTCTGAACACAGTAAACATCCCCATGGCCTAATGCTACCTCTTGTCCTATTTCTGCACTTACAAACACAGCACTATTTTTACCTTGAATAATGCATGGCTTGGTGACCTGCAATATTAAAATAGAAGTCTGTTGTGTGCTTCATCTCATTGGTGTGCCCAGTGGCCTCAATCCAGTGTCCAATTGGGAGACAATAAACACCATCCACCAAGTTGTTTTCATTATAAGTACAGCAGCGATCGTGGTGTGGCCCACTGCCTAGAACAAGAAGAAATGACAAACAGAGCAATGAAATCAGCGTTCTGCTTCAACAGCCTCAAAGTAGCTGATGCAACTTTAATAGTAAGATGAAAATAAATACAAAGCTGCCTAATCTACTCATTTCAATCTTGGACAAAAACCCAGACTAGACTGAGAGGGTAAAAAGAGGAGAGAGTATAAATGTGTGAGGATTCATTAATAAAAATCAGACGGCTCAGTGCTCCTTTGAGTGCATGGGATTTCAAAAGAATATTAACTCTTTCTTAACTCTGTTAATTCTCCTGTCCTAAGAGCTCACTGTAGGCCATGGGGCTTCTGGAAAGGGTTTTAAAAGACATTAATTAATGTCTTTGTATATTATATGCTTTTGTTTTTCAGTATACAAATGTATGATCAAGTCATAAATAGTGTTTAGTATCAGCTCAAAGAATGAGCAAATAAACATATTTTGATAGGAGGCACCAAACGTAGTGTCTGTGCAAAACAGTGGATGTGCTATTTTGAAATGAGGAAACCAAATTGAACAGGGTTCACTAGCTTTCCTAAGGTCACAGAGCTGAAAGGGCAGACTTAGCAGGAGCACAAAGCATCTCATCTCCCACCTTTCAGACACTTGATATCTTCACAGTGTTTCTCTATTTACTTTATACTCATTGAGGGCATAGCATTCCTCTTCCCTGGAAGAACTCAAAAAAGACAGAGTTGGCAGAAGGACTGATCTTGGACAGCACTGTTTAGTCTAATGCATAGAGACCAAAGTTTATTGGTGATCACAAAGAACAAGCCAGAAGGAGAGGGAAAGAGGGAAGTATAGTGTAAGACACCCATGTTCTCCTAGGAGAGAAGAAAATCTCTGGAAAGGGAAAATGACAAGGATTGTACATAATGAATAGAATTAATACCATTGAACTCATACAGAGATGTTGAAACAATACATATTGTGTTACCTACATGGTTGCTGAAACTGAGGAAGACCTGAAACACTTGCTGCAGAAGGTCAAGGACTGCAGCCTTCAATATGGATTAAAGCCCAACATCAAAAAACAAAGATTCTCACCACTGGGCCAATTGGCAGCACCATAATAGATTGAAATTGCTAACAGATTTCGTTTTCTGGCTCCACAATCAACACCCTTTGTCCCAGGAGTCAAGAAATCAAAAGACTAATTGCACTGGGAGAATATGAGGTCAGAGACCCCTCCTGATTATTGAGAAGCAATGATGTCAGTCTAAAGACTAAGGTGCACATGATTCAGGCCATGGTCATCAAGATTATTTGTTATGCATCAGAAAGTTGGACAGTGACTAAGGATGACAGAAGAAGAATTGAAGCCTTTGAATCCTTTGAGTTGTGGTGCTGGAAAAGAGTATTAAACATACTGTGGACCGCCAAGAGATCAAACACGTCTGTCTTGGAGAAGGTGAAACTAAATATCCCCATGAAAGCTAGGATTTTGAAACTCCATCTCACATACTTTGAGCATATTGCCAGGAGGGACTGGAGAAGGACATCATTCTTGAAGGGTGGAGGGACAGCACAGGGGAGGAAGACCCCAGATGAGATGGATTGACACAGTAACTGGGGCAATAAGGGGAAGGTGTGTCAGAGTCAGAGTCAGTGAGACTGGCTCAGGACAGGGCAGGGTTCACAGAATCACTATGAGTCACAGATGACTCATGACCAACAGCACATAACAACCTTACATCTAACAAAATAAAACACTGCCTGGACCTGTGCACGTTAGTGATCAATTGCTGATATATGTGAGTCCATATCTTGTTGGCACCACAGCCAACCCATCTAATGGAGGGTTCCCTTCATTTTCACCAGCCCTCTCGTGCTTTGTTTTATCTGATGGCATTGAAAATGAGTTCAAGTTTCACCATCCCTCTTCTAAGGGGCATTCTTGTTGTATTTCTTCAAAGTCTGATCTTTTTTTATTATTATTATTATAGTGGTCCAATCTATATTCAATACTCTTCACTAATACCACCATTCTATCTCATCAATGTCTCCCGTGTCTTCTTTTTTCACTGTCCAGCTTTCAGATTCCATATTTTGTTGTTATGTGCTGTCGGTTCAACAGCAACTCATCGTGACCCTATGCACAACAGCTTTGAATTCTGCCTTATCCTGAGCCAACCTCATTGTCTCCAACACACCTACCCCCATGACTCCAGTTACTGTGTCAATCCATCTCATCTTGGGTATTCCGTTCTTGCATTGTCCCTCCAACTTTCCAAGCATGATGTCCTTCACCAGGGACACATCCTTCCTGGCCATATGCCCAAAGTATATCAGACAGAACTTCAAAATCCTTGCTTCCAAGCAGCAACATGCTTTCACCCTTTCCATGATCTCCAGATCTGTTTGTTTGCTTGGTAGTCCATGATATGTTCAATACTCTTCTCTAGGACCACAACTCAAAGGCATCAATTCTTTTTCTGTCGTTCTTAGTCATTGTCCAACTTTCTGATGCATAGCAAATAACTGTGAAGACCATGGACTGAATTCTATACAAGGTAATTGAATAGATTCTGTCATTTACACCTTAGACATCAAATGATAAAGACAAAGAAACAGAATGCAATACACAGTATAAATAAACTTCTGAGAATTAAAACCAAAAGGGAAAAGTCTTATAAGGAGCCAGTGAAAAAAAATGACAACTTGGTTGAAAAACAATTCTGGTGTTAGCTGATCTCTCATCAGAAGCCATGGAGGCTAGGAGAAAGTGGCACAGCACTTTTGAAGTGCTGAAAGATATCTCCTATCTAAAGAAAATATTCTCCAGGAATAAAGAGAAAATAAAGCCATGCACAGATGAAAGACAATTACAAGAACTTTTCTAGCTGAATTACCATGCAGAAATAGCTACTGAAAGTCCTCTAAACAACAGAGTATGATTAAAGAGGAATTCTTCAAACACCAGGAATGATGAAAGAACACACACTAAGTAAAAATATGAGTAAATATAATAGATTTTCCTTCTCTTATTAAGCATACTTACTAGCACTGATGTGTTTCTCACATAGGTGAAGAAATGCCATATATGCACAAAGAACATTCACATAAATAATACGCACATGCATATGTCACACATAGGGAACTAACACTTGAGGAAGTTGGGTTGTTTGCAAAACCACGTAACACGTGCATTATTCATATAAGATTTTATACTCACAACAATTATAGATGGAAAAGGTTCAAAGGGATACAAAGCTTCTGCACTTCCCTCAAACAAGCAAAATGATTATACTAGTCAACTCTGGTCAGTGAGGCATATACCTAAAGCAACTACTGATCAAGAATCAGCTGGGGATCTTGGTAAAGTACAGATTCTGGTTCAGTATAGCTGGGGTAGAAATGTAAATACCCAGCAAAGGATAGAACTAGAATGACCTGAATTAAAGTCTTGCTCTAACTCATTTCGTCAAAGCTAAGCCACTTTGCCACTTGCTTGAAGTATCAGTCCACCTCTCTCTCTCTTCAATAGGCTCGTGCTTTTGCACACAACAGGGCTGGCCGCACTGGTCTCGTTAATAATCAGCCTCAAGACCTTTCACAGCTGTTTAAAAATCAGTGGAAGTCCTTGAGACACATTTGGTGAGCCACCTGTATGTTGGGCTTCTAGAAGGTGAGTTTAAGGAGTGTAGAAACAGGAACAGCAGGAGTGATTAATAAAGCTTAGCCTTGGTTTCACTCTCTGCCAAGCCTCCAGTGTGGATCATGCAGGTGAAACTGCCAGGAAAGCCGTGATAAGTTCCAGCTAAAAACATTTCAGAAAAGACTTAATTAATACCTGTCAAACCAAACAGAGCAGAAGACATTAGAAAGGAAAACTTCCATGAAAAGAAAAAACAAGTTTAAAACTAACAACAGAAAAATACCTGTGGGAAAGGCCAAAAATAATAGTTCTTTTCTTTGAAGATATAATAATAATTTAATTTGTTGTTACGTGCTGTCGAATCACTTGTGACTCATAGTGACCCTGTGTACAACAGCTTTAAACCTTGCTCTATACCATGCCAATCTTATTGCCTCCAACACAGCTACCCCCACTACTCCAATCACTGAAATCAGTCCATCTCATTGACGGTCTTCCTCTCTTGTGCTGTCTCTCCACTCTCCCGAGCATGATGTCCCTCTCCAAGAACTGACCCCTCTTTGCAATATGTCCAACATACGTCAGATGAAGCTTCAGAATCCTTGCTTCCAAGGAATAGCCTGATTTCATCCTCTCTAGGACAAAATTCTTTATTCTTCTAGCCATCCATGGTATATTCAATACTCATCTCCAGCACCACAGCTCAAAGGCTTCAATTATTCTCTATCATCCCTAGTCACTGCAGCTCTCTGATGCATGACAAGTAATACAAAGACTGTGGCCTGGATGAGGTTCACCTTAGTTTCCAGACAGACATTTTTGTTCTTCAGTACATTGGAGAGGTCTCTGACAGCAGACTTTCCCAATGCAATTTGTCTTTTAATTTCCTGATTGCTGGTACCAAGAGGGTTGACTATAGTACCAAGCAGACTAAAGTTGTTAACAATTTCAAACCTTTCATCATCTATCATAATACTGCCAACTGGCCCAGTGGTGAGAATCTTTGTTTTCTTGGTGTTAAGCTTCAATCCATAATGAAGGCAGCAGTCCTTGACCTTCTGCAGCAAGCATTTCAGGTCCTCCTCACTTTCAGCAAGTAGGGTTGTGTCATCTGCATAATACAGATTGTTGGTGAGTCTTCCTGCAATCTTGACACCACATTTCCCCTCAGACAGCTCAGCCTCCCGGACAATCTGTTCTGTATATAGATTGAAAAGGTATGGAGATAGGACACATCCCTGGCATACACCCTTCCCAATTTTGAACCATGCAGTGTTTTCCTGCTATCTTCTGACGACTGCCTCCTGGTTCAAGTATAGGTTTTACATAATTCTGGTATTCCCATTCTCAGTGTCAGCTATAGTTTGTTGTGATCTACACAGTAGAGTC